AAAAAAAAAAAAAAAAAATTCCTGGGGAGCCTGGGTGGGTCAGTCAGTTAAACGTCCGACTTTTGATCTGGGCTCAGGTCTTGATCTCACAGTTTGTGAGTAAGAGCCCCACATTGGGCTCTGTGCTGACAGCATGGAGACTGCTTGGTATTCTCTTTCTCCCCCTTTCTCTGCCCTTCTTTGACTCGTGCTCATGAGCACTCGCTCTCTCTCTCTCTCTCTCTCTCTCTCTCTCTCTCTCTCTCTGCCCCTCCCCTGCTCTTGCACTCTCTCTCTCTCAAAATAAATAAACGTAAAAAAAAAAAAAAAAAAAAAAAAAAAGGCAATGTATTCTTTACTAAAAGGCGCAAAGAGAATAACAAGCAGATCGGAGGAAATAAACTCAGTCCCATCCATCCAGGATGACCCTATGAGCCATCCAGTGTACACGTTAAATTTTATTTTGAATTCACTAGGGACTCCCTTGAAAGGAATTGTGTAGATACGTTCTTTCCTGCAATGAGATTAACATACACATACAGCCTCACGTTAGCAAACTGTTCCTAAGTGTGTGTAGGGTAGATGCCTCCCAGAAAAGGGATTTTACACTCGTCTAAGTTTGGGGGAAACACTGCCTTAGACAAGGGGCATGTGTTTCCAGCGACTTGAAAAGCAAATGCTCTCTGGGATTCTTCAGAGGGAGGAAGGAACCCGTAGCCGTGCCTAAACTAACACACCCACCCTTTTCTCCGGGGCCATTTCATAAGCCTCCTGTTCTCTCAGGAACTGATTGGGAAAGGGTTACTGAGATGATACTCTACCCTGTACAGGCTGTCCTTGCCAGAGGGCAGGGCCCGTGGCCCCAGCTCACTCAAACCCCACGTCTCCTTCCAGATCTACGAAGATTCCATTGTCCTACAGTCGGTGTTCACCAGTGTGCGGCAGAAAATTGAAAAAGAGGACGACAGTGAGGGCGAGGAGAGCGAGGAGGAGGAGGAGGGCGAGGAGGAAGGCTCCGAGTCTGAGTGTGAGTCCCCGCGGTGGGTGGTGTGGCAAGCCAACGTCACAGCCAGGCAGCCCCTGGCCGCCCCTGGCTCGGCTTGCCGTTCTCTCCCCAGCTCACGTCTGTCTTTCTTTCCCCCCCCCACTTTCTGGTCCCTCCCCCAGCCCGCTCTGTCAAAGTGAAGATCAAGC